CTTCGAATAATTTACTTGAGCGTTTTTGACTCGTGTTATGTTATCAGCAACTCAGTGACAAGGAAGTATATCAGTTAATGTAATATATGTGCGTCGTAGGTAATACTTTATTTTCTATGATAACAGCTAAAGTTTTCTACATCCTTGTTAACTCAGGAATAACCACATTTTTGACGATAAATTAATTATTTCGATTATTTATAAAAAAAATTCTTTTCAGCCAGTAGTCATTCATAATGTTATTGACTTTCGATTCATTTTACGTAGAACTATCAAGAAATACTTAATCACAGTTGAAAATGATATTTACTTCGTTACGTAGTGAAGTTATAAGAGAGCAGAAAAGGTTACCATTAACATGCATCATACTCTTAAGAATATTATTCTTTATTCAAAAGTATAATGAGTGAAATAACTGATTTACAAAATTTATAGAGGAGAATGTACTTCTTTTACATCTTTTTTGGATTATATATTGATTTTTGCTTTAATGAAATGACATTAGGTCAGTTTTTTCGAAATGTTCTTATGCATAAATCGATTTCTCGACAAATGACGTGATTTCATAAAATGGAATTGTGAATTCGCTCATTTATTGTATTGGTCAATGATCTTGGTTGTTGACTCTCATAACTTTCACAGTACTAGAATATATTTTTAGTTGAAGTCTGTATATTAGAATATGTCACGTCTTATTAGAAATCCAGGAGATTACAGTCATCTATTACTTTCATTAATTTACTTGTCCTTACTTGGAATCCTCAAGGCCAAATTGAAGAGGAAGACCAAAGAACACATTGCGCCGAGAAATGGAGACAGACATGAAGAGAATGAACAAAAATGGGATAGACCTAGAAAGAAAGGCCCAGGACAGAATGGGTTGAAGAATGCTGGTCGGTGGTCTGTGCTCCTTTGTGGATAACAGGCGTAAGTAAGTAAGTAGTAATACTAAAAATCGTATTGCTACTATATGAACATTGATAAAAGCTTCATGTTAGTTACTATCATATATATACCGAAATTTTCACTCAGTGCTCAGTAACTTCATTAATTGCGCATATAGCGAAATAATTTTTTGACTCCCGAATTTCGTTCTTTTTCTTTACGATCCTAAATGATTAAAAACGATTTGTACGGAGACCTTGACTTGGAGTCTCATGATAGTCAGGATCCATAGGCAACGTACACCGTCGTTTCGAAAAAAAAACAGTATTGTCACTGGATGTTACTCTACTAATAATCTTTTTATGGGCAACATTATAATGGTACTGGGTTTGAGTCCCAGAGTGAACATCAACTCTGAGATACAGGTACATCCAGCTGACGAGTCCCAAATAGGACTAAACGCGCGTCCTGGATTCCACTGCTAGCCACTATCCATCATTAATTATCAGTGCTGTTTTGAATTTGATTATCAGCAACACTATTTAACAGTTAAAGTAAACTTAATCGGATTAACTTTGATTATTATACATATGACTAAAATTATTTATGGTGAAATTCATTAGAGCATCAACTTGATCATACAATGATCCACAAATGGAAATAATCAGTGATTTGTGAATATTAAAAACGGCAGGAAATAGCTTTCCTAGTTCATTTAAGGATATTATTATTATTATAAAAATAAGTATGATTACTATTATTACACTTTTAAGTAAGAAGTTTAAAATTGATCTGCAAAAAAGCATCAACAGAAAGTAACATTGAAATTACTCGACAAAATCTCGAAATAATCGGATATTCTAAGTAGATCAATTCATAACTTCTTTGTTACAAAAAGACAAGTAGAAATCAACAGCTATAGTTTGAATAGATCAGCTTATTATTCTAACAATAAAAAAGAAAATAAAGAAATCTCCAACCCTAAAATAATTGTATGAGAAAAATCATATAGGAAATAATATTAGGATGCTACCAATGATATTTTCAGTAATCATATAATATTGAGGTAGCAAACGAACGACTTTATATATATATATATATATATATATATATATATATATATATATATATATATATATATATATATATATATATATATAGAGAGAGAGAGAGAGAGAGAGAGAGAGAGAGAGTTAAGTTGATTGGCTACATCTTAAACGTATAATACACATTCACTGAATTCAGAAGGATACTTGTAAAATAAGAGTTCATTTACGGAGTCTCAATAATGGCACATCAAAACGAAGAAAGCAAACATAGAATAATAAAAATTTTAACTTTTGGTATGTTGTAATACAGTGTACAAAAAAACTTTAGAAAAGAGAAATCTGAGGAAAAGAATAACATAATTACAAGAGAAAATGTTATTCAAGTTAACGTGATTGTGACACATTGATTATTTTTTAATAAAACATCAACAACAATGAAGTTAGGAAATTCCTTTACAAGTACCTATTAGCTTGGTTGGTGCTTGATGTTCATATAATAATAGCAAGGTGAACCACTCTACCTAATGTATTGTGTCTTATGGATCAATGCTACTGATTCTGAGCCCGACCGAAGCTGCTACCTTGACGCGGTGGTCGGGCTTGCCTATCGTGATGACCCAACCGAGCTATATTGGCTGGAACATATGTTCCTGTAGGTTCTACCATGCCAGGCGGGTCGATTGGTGAACGGTAAGACTAAAAGCAGCAACTCAAGGTCTGAGGGCGAAGTCGTACTGCTGACTGTAGAGGGGTGTGACAGCAGTAAGGTGTTTCCCTCGGACAAGCAGCATCTGCAGCGATGCTGCCTTCGCACAAGGAGGGGTGGGGTTAGAAAAGGTCGACCCTTAAAAATGTTACACCTCACCTTACCTCACGGATTTCAGTCTCCGGCGGTAAGGCCCTTTGAAGAACGGAGCTAACACATTAAAAACCTTCCACGAAAAGGCCGTGCGCGACCGGCCTCAAGCAGTTGTCCCTTGGGCTCTGCGGTTACGCTCCCAGGTCGTTAAGACCAACACTAATCCAATTTCCTTTTCAGGTTCCTCAAGAAATACCCTTCCACGGTGTGAACAGCCGGGAAGTGATATCAACCCTCATACCCGTAACAACACACGTGACCAAGTTGGTCACTGACTGATTCTGCATCCACTGAAAGTCCACAACATATAGCATTTGATACTACGAAATTTCAAAGCGAAAACCAACACATTTCAAAGAGACTAATTTGAACAGTTAGAGAATTAGTGAGTTTATGCATTATGTTTACCTGCTCATTATTATCTATCTTTTCACCCGATCCTATTTCAATCCAGCAGTATCTGGATGTATGTTACAGATGTCCTAATTAATTCAATCAACGTCGATTAAAAAAATCATCTGATAAATTAGTTTAATTATGAGGTTTTCTGTGCTAAACATAACTGTCGTTCACTCGACCGCTGTCTGTAGAAATATTTCTTGAAAATTTATGGTTGTATACTATTATTTTTTATACCATTTGATCATAATATCAGACAAAGACGATTTCTATATACAGTAGTTGCGATGACCGAACTCGTCTAATTCAGCTCATTAAATGTTTGTAACGTTACTTATACGCATTCACAAACACACTCAAAATTATTCATAATAGAGTTTTGAAAATTCATGCTAGACATATTTGTGAGTTCAGTAACTATTAATACCAGTACCATAATTAGAACTTGATGAAAAAGCTAAGTGAAAACTTATTTATTCAGTTATCAACACAAATGAGGACAATCGCATGTATTTAAACACAAAACTACAGAGCATCCAAGTTAAATCTGAGAACCATACAGTAAATGCTTCATTTGCAGAATGTCAATCATTCGTCTCAGATTTCATTGTTCCTTCATTCCTACATTTCACTATTCTCGTTCTCTCTTCTTCAATCTTCCTAACTTTCTGCTGCCAGGTATTTCACATTAGATTGATGATACATACTACTTATATCTATCGACATTAGTAGCACACACCACAATATTATTAACCATTTAAAGGTTGTTTATTTACGTCTAAGACATTGAAAAAATAACGCTACGTTTTGAATTATATCTTAAATGAGATAAATGTCATGATATTTATAAGCTCATCAACACAATTTAAGTATATTACTAGCTGAATAACACTATCTTTTTTAACGGATCTTTTTATAACTTGTTTGATTACAACAGCATTTTAAAAAATTTCATTGTTTCAATTAAAAAACAAAAGGTATTTCCTGGAGTTCTAGTGAGAAGCAGTGACCAATGGAGTCCAGCCGGATTTATTGTGAGATATTAACTTACTGAAGACAATGGTGGATGTATCGCTCAATTTCGTGGATTAGTTGAAGTTAGATATTAACACCTTTGGATGTCGCCCATTTCAGTGGTCTAGTGGTTAGGCATTCACATGCGAGATTGATAAGTCTTGAATTTGAATCTCGCGAGGCGGGATGGTGGATGCGCATTGCTGAGGAGTCTCATACTAGGATGAAACAACCATCCAGTGTTTCCAGGTTTTCCATAATGGTCTAGATTCAATTGATTCATGATCTCAACTAATAAAATTACAAAAAAATGATCGTTTAATTTTAGATAGACTACTTAATTTGATAAACATTTAAATATTATCTATTTATATCCGTATTTTATGTATCAATATTTTATAGGTACAATTTTAATTTATACCTGGAAACAATGATATAATTTTCAATAAAATCATTTTTATTCTCATCGTTCATATATATTTGTAAGTACTATGACAACAAAATTGAAAAATGAGATTAGTTTTTTTTTCTTGTTTAATTTATTTAATTCACTTTCCAATAATTATTCAATTGATTCTGTAAATATACGTACATTTTTACAATATATCAATGAATTAGAGAATTACTATCATCGCTCCAATTAAACATCAGATGAAAGTGTTTCAATATAATGCATATCTATCTATCTATCTATCTATCTATCTATCTATCTATCTATCTATCTATCTATCTATATCTATCTATCTATTTGATCTCTATATATATAACAATTTGTAAGTTATTCTCAATGAAAAATGCATTACCTTCGAAAAAGATATAAAATCAACAAAAAACGAGATCCAATTTGGTTATACAAACCACTTAAAACAACATTACAATTTAGAGATTGTAAATGTATAGATTTATTCAAATTACTTATCTTTTTTATATTATTGTATACATTATTATTTATTATGGTTATATGTTTTATGAAATTAGTTTTATACAAAATTATTGATGCTGATAAACCATATTTAACTGGAAGTTACTCGTCGTTACAAAATACACCAGGTCTATCAATTGTTCCAGTGATTTCAACTGAAATGAATCTAGTTGCGTATAAAGTGAGTCAATACTAGTAGTTGACTATAAAGAATATTAATTTATTTCATTAATAATTTCAGTGATTGAGATTATGAGTAAATTGAAGCTAGATCATCATGGAAATCCTGGAAGCGCTAGACGATTGTTTCATCTTATTGTGGTACTCCTCAGAAATTCGCATCCACTATCTCGCCTCGCAAGATTCGAACTCAAGGCCTATCAATCTCTCACGTGAACGCTTAACTTTTAGACAAATGAGCTGGGTGGCATCCAGCGGTGTTAATGTGTAACTTCAACTAATCTACGTAATTGAGTGACACATCCACCATTGTCTTCAATGAGTTACTCTCTCACAACAAATCTGGGTGAACTCCACTGATAGGTCCTGGGTTTGAATCTCGCGAGGCCGTGGATGCGCACTGTTGAGGAGTACCACAATAGAACGAAACGGTCGTTGAGTGCTTCCAAGTTTTCAATGATGGTCTAGCTTCAATTGACTGATGATCCCAACCATTGAAATTACTATAATATCCACAAAACCGTTTTCATTATTTCCTTATTGTTTGAAAATTACTTTTTCTGTTTCAAGTAAATATAAATCGTCTGCAGTATATCGAGTGTAGGTACAAATTAAATTCATTTTCCAATAATAAAATGATAATGTTATTCAAGATAATCAATTTATTGTCCTTAGAGCTTATTATGGTAGTACGAGTTGAATTAAAATGTTAAACTCTATCATGATCTAATCAGTAAAATGATCATTGAGCTAATATATAATTGTAAAAATAGTTTCCATTAGGTAGTGATACCAAATGAAGTTTAACAGAAATCGAGGAATTAATTATGAGTTGTTTTACCTTAGTTTAGTATTCCTTAGTTGTACGTGTCCGCGATTTCAAGACGGAAAGAAATGTAGCTTTCAAGATAAGCAGCATATATTTGAAATATTAAGTTCTAAGTCAGTGTCCATTATTCCCAGCTTTGACAAAACACTTGCATAGTGCTCTCTGACAAGTTCAACTAATCTTCTCAAGACACTTAAACAATAAAAGATACCATTGTATTTATGTTTTTTACAGTAACTTATATAATAGTTAAGGTTTACATCATTTTCATACGTTAACAGATCTAATAACTAAAGATTCTAACTCTAATGTACATCTTACTTTCTTGAATCTCTTTAGCATAATGCTTTAACAATTAATCAGTTTATGTAGTATTCACTACAAAGTAATCAGTTATGTTCAATACACTTTTCAATGTTGATAGTGTTGAAAAAAAAAGCCATACGGAATATCCTAACAATCTAAAGCAGGCATTCTTGTATCAGTCTTTCGCTTACATTTACTCTTTCTAGACATTTTTAGTAACCTTACCTCAGTCTTTTCAGAATAAACATTATGAATGCATTAAATGTGTTGTAATAAAATGAATTATCTACATCAGTTAGAAAATAAGACTTGTTTACAAATAATAGAAAGACTTATAAGTATAGTAAGCTTTCAACTTAAGCTCGCTTTTCTAGATTTTACCATACAAATAGGATGATTTATTATTTATATGTTTAATCAAGTCTCCCTGATCATAATTCTGATTGCATATTTTTAAAAATTAAAAATTTCACAGATTGAAATCATGAGTCAGTTGAAGCTAGAACACCATGGAAAACCTGGAAACACTTGACGGCCGTTTCGTCCTAGTATGGGACTCCTCAGCAGTGCAAGTCCACCATCCCGCCTCGCAAGGTTCAAACCCACGACCTATCAGTCTCGTGCGCGAACGCTTAACCATTAGACCACTGAGCCGGCATTCAACGGTGCTAATGTCTAGCTTCAACCAATCTGCAAAATTGCGCCACCGTACACCGTTGTCTTCAGTGAGCTGATATCTCACAACAGACCCAGTTGAACTCCACTGGTCACTGCTACTCACTAGAACTCCAGGAAATGCCTCTTGGAGTCAGTCACTAGTGGTTGAAGTTAGACATTAACACCGTTGGATGCCGGCTCAGTGGTCTAGTGGTTAAGCACTCGTGCGTGAGACTGGTTACTAAAATCTCCACAGTATCAATATTAGTTTTCGAATGAAATTTTCTCTTTTCCCAAGTTAATACGTATACGAACAATGACATTCTGAATGTTGTTTAAATAAACATAAAATTGCCAGTATTTTACACATTCAATGTTCGAAGTATATCTTTTAGACTCCTGGAGCTCAATCCAAATATTGATGATGGATTAGACACAAATTCATTCACACAATGAAATCATGAGTCAATCGTGGATGCGCACTGCTGAGGAGTCCCATACTAGGACGAAACGGACGTCCAGTACTTCCAGGTTTTCCATGGTGGTCTAGCTTCAAGTGACTCATGATTTCAATCTGTGAAATTTCTAAAATCTCCACAAACCGCTTCTGATATTATTAAAAATCTATTTCTTTACTTCCTTCTTAATATAAATCCAGTAAAGGTTTCCTTATGCTCTCTTCATTTCATTATTTGCAATCTTTTGAATCTGTTTCTCAATTTATTGATTAGCCTGTTTCGAATGTTCCCTGAAAGTGAAATTTCTAAATAGCCAACACTTATTTACTTCGATTACTTTTGTTAAGCTTTTTGCATTCATTGATACTAATAAACAATACCGTTAATTAAAAGGTATGAATATAAATAAAGGTATTGTAAAGACTTTAATTTGGAGTTTAGATCATGAATTAACAATAGCTAAACAACCGCTGATAACTAAAATTGTCATAAACCAGATATTTTCTTATCTCCAAAGTTCCAGGTAGATTTTTGCAATAGAACTATTATCAAAATGTAATTGAACAGTTGTGTTTATTTGTTTTTTAACGTAAAAAGTAATTGTATTCTTAGGAATTTTCTGTTCATGTTACTTATTTTACTCTTTATTGGCATGGAATTTACTGATGATTTGTCTTGTTTTTTGATGTTGATACAGCAATAGTTAATCAGTAATGAAGTCAGAGCTCTTGATAATGAAATTATTTTTATCAGTCAGTTTTCGTAAACTTACAATAATTTAAATTCACTTGGTATTGTTTGGCTTGTATCTTCCCATTGAAGTTTAAGACTGCAATTGATCAGTCTGTTATTGGCATATGTGCATACTGTGCATATGCCTCGATATTGCCTTAATTCATAAGCTTTTTGTAAGCAATGATGGATAGTGGCTAGCAGTGGAATCCAGGACGCGTGTTTAGTCCTATTTGGGACTCGTCAGCTGGATGTACCTGAATCTCAGAGTTGATGTTCACTCTGGGACTCGAACCCAGTGCCATTCGCCTCAAACTCCATCGCGAAACCTCAATTGGAAGATACAAACAAAACAGTACCAAGTGAATTTAAATTCATCCCATTGCACAAGCAAGTGGCTATCACGACTCAGTAGCTGAGTGGATAACGTGATGGCGTTTGAAGTGAATGGCACTGCGTTCGAGTCCCAGAGTGAACATCAACTCTGAGATTCAGGTACATCCAGCTGACGAGTCCCAAATAGGACTAAACACGCGTCCTGGATTCCACTGCTAGCCACTATCCATCACTGCTTACAATAATTTACTTTGTATAAAATCATAGAACAAATATTCTTCAAAATAAGTCTTCAAAGTGTTAAAATTGAAGGTTTCTTTGAACTTAAATACGTCATAAATTTTTTCTTCCTAAAAATACCATAGGTTTATTGATCTAAAATTGATCGGCTCATGATTTCAATGAAACTCAACAATCTCCACAATCCCATATGGACAGTCTTAGGTTTAGTCAAATACCAGTGAACTTTGAATGACCAATACTATTACAGGTCATATTTCACGGCCATAAGAAGAGAAAAAACTTCTCAGTTGTATACTCAGCCCTTCTTTCGAAAATGAACATGTGTGATAAACGATGTAAGTTGCTAAAAGCTAAATAAGCCTTCTTTATCTATCCTACGATCTCGTCTAACACAAACCTATCAGGCCTTATATGACTTTCAAACATATCCGACGTGGTCAATATGATTAGCTACAATAAGTCAAAAATTAGATTAGAAACTAATACGTATTGAATCCATATTGTTTAACTGATTCAGTCGTCAGCATCATGGTATTTGAAGAACAAAAGATGTGATCAAGAATTAATTCCACTTTTTATTTTATAGAAACAATCTGCTTCTTATATGAAAACATTGAGAAGGATAATTTTAGTTTTATTATTTTAAAGTTTGGCTGGAGAAATCACTTATAGCATTCATTCACAGTTTTCATTTAATATTGAATTCTACAAACAAATGAATCAGGTGACAATTAGGCTATTTTTTTCTGTAGATTATTTTCCGGTTAACCTCAGGGATACTACACTTCGTTTTGTATTCGTTCGTTATATTGATACTTAATGTGGCCATCTACGTGAAATGAGTGATGTACCAAACTTCTAGTACCCATAACATGTTACCAAGTTTGTCATGTATTACAAACCTTTATATACTCATTTAACCTCCTTAATTCTGATAATTTTTTCTTCCTTCATCTGTAGGATGGTAAACCTGATACTTTTCTTATCTTTCAAGACATGCTTATCGCATTCCTATCGCAGTATGAATATTACTCATACACAGGAAACAATTTGCGCGATTGTTTAGTGCAGAATGATTCCCAAGCTTTAACTTATGGAACATTAGTTGAAACAAGCTGCCTTTTCAATTTGGATTGGTCTTATGCATGTAATATCAACAATTATTTTGGGTATGACAGTGGATCCCCTTGTGTAATAATTAAACTTAATCGTCTCTATGGTTGGTTGCCTGATATACGATCAAATGAGAATGGGATTAAGATATGTTGTAAAGGAGCTAATCCAAATGACGATATTCTTTTAGGTACAATTTGTCTGTATGATGCTTATATACATACAGAAGAAGGATGTGGACGGCAATGCGCTTTTATTCCTCATCAATATTTTCCATATTTAAACCAAGAATCATACCAGTCTCCGTTAATCTTTCTTCAATTTCAAAATGTCAAGAAAAATGTTTTGATACAAATCCATTGTGAGACAGTAAATTTGCCTAATAAGATGAGTGTAAATTTTGCTCTTCTGGTGGACTAGAGTATAGTGATACATAGTTAAATATATTCAAAATAACAGTGATTATTATGGTTTTATCAATCTATCCAGTGTTTTAAACTTTTAATTGTGGTTAACGTCTTTAATGTTTCACAATGCAGTTTAGCAGCTGAATCGGTATACGATCGTGTATATTTCTTAATTAAACCAATTTGTAGTTTAAAAAGACTCTGATCACTTGTAATCAGGGAGTTACCGTTTTATTGCTCAGTTATCTTATTTACCTGGTAATGGCTGGCCAGTAGACCTTTAGCTAAACCATCTCAAGGTTAGTCATCAGTGAGCCCATAATTGTTAGTGATTGAAATAGATTTATATAATTCACATAATTTGAAGGCTATTTTCATTACAATCTGACATTTATGTAGAAAATTTTCGTTGAGAGCATCCAGGGTTGATCATTACGGCTACCTACATTATTAATCAGGCTTATTGTACTGGTAGTTAGGGCCATCGGCTCACTGAAATCAATCGTTATCTAGCTCACATCTATTATGAACTATCATAAACTCAAGCTCTAGGTATGTATACAATGTGTAAACAAAATTACACCGAAATCTAGTATAAAGTACCTAGAAATGCTGTTCTCTCTTAATTGAAATATTTCAGCTTGAACTGAAGGCAAATTAAATGAATTGTGTTCGGTATTTTTGACGTTAATGGACATATACATTTCTACATTCCTATTGGTATGATATTCAGACATTTGCCGACGATAGATATGTCTAACTAATTTATCACACTGTTCATTATTACATCGAATTAATCCTCACAACAGTTTTAGTTTATCAAAAGTATTTTATTTTTACTATATCCAAGGTTCAATTATTTTTTTTTCTTTTTAGAGCTTATTTGATTAAAAATTATAAGATTTTAAAGTTTGAAATGGAAATTGTAGCTAAGCACATTCTGTTACATTGTAAAATTTGTATGGTGCCACCTAAATGCTATATATCTAACATTCAATGGTTTTGCTGTTGAACTGTTTATTATAGATGGAGAGCTTGGCCATTACATGGACTGTCTAAATACAGTTAAAATAAATGAAGAGAATACCTATCTACTAATAAAATACAATGAAACAGTCTGGTTGACTGACTAGTATTTAAAAAAACTGAGTTATTAACTTAAGCCTCTAAATAACTCTCACTAAATGATAAGACCACTAACCAGAAGTATAGATTATGTTTTCCATTTAAATAATAGGTATAACGAAAAAATTAAAATTAAGATTAGATGTCATAAGCCATTAGAAGTTACTAACTAACAAATGAATTAAGAACTGATTATTCGACTGCCTTATTTGCCGTATTAGGGTGATTGGAAAAAAGGCTGCGGTTAAACTAATGATAAATACTGTTATTAAGTAAATTCCAGACAAAGAACAATAACTGGTACTCATGTGGTGTAGTGTATCTTTTATCTTGTTTGAAAATGAGATACTTTCATCACTTTCAGGAAGTACTAAGATAAATATGAATGATTTTTTGCATTTTGCGAGGAGTAAGTGGTTGGAGACAGTTAATATGAAACTCTAGACCTAGTAATCCTGCTATTTGACACTCATTAGGAAGATATACCTGTAATCTTGGGGGAACTAATGCTTTCTAGCAGATCAGATCGCACATCACATGGCTTCACAGTCCCAGACGTTACGACTGAGCTATCCAAGCCGCGACTTACATTCTGAAGGACTGAAATGTATTTATAATTGATCGACCATTGGATTGCAATCAACTTCATGGATGTCAGGTTCTTCTTAGTGCAGGTTAAATTCTGTCGGTCAAGTTCAAAAGAAGTTTTGATTATTTCTAAACTTGTTCGAATCCATTCTACTAACTTAAAATGATTTAATAAGATTAATCATCTTTCTTTGTAACACTCAATTTATTCGGTAGTAACGATATCATTATACATCGGTTGGTTCCATAGTTCATAAAGCAGTTCCCATAATTTTAGAATAAATTTCTGACATATTTAAAAACTTATTCAATGTCCAACACGAAGGTGAAATCGATAAATCAATAAATACACATGATTATATTACACATTATTTATTCATCAATTACTGTAATACAGACTGAATCCAATAGAACTCTCATGATATATAATGTAATACAGTTAGAATAATATAATGTAGGCTTAAATGAAATATTCAGAAAATATCATAACTAGAGTATTAGTATTCGCTTATGCATTAAGACTTAACTTAATCAATAGCACCTATCTCATATTAAGCCTGGTGATTTATTTTTAATTCTCGCTAAATGTGTGGAGATATGCATGACAAGCTTATTTTGTAAATAGTTTTTGATGCTATTTGTATTTATTCTGTCAATTTTTCACTGAATGTACACTTATCAGTAAAGGATTGTACGTGTTGTTTAAGTGTATGACCTTGAACACACTTTCTTCCGTCGTGTTACATTCATAGCATGACACATGCTGTCACGTAATAACAAATACACTGTTACACACATACCTCTTGTTCTCCATTCGCTTGTGATTGTGTTAACTGAACTCTAAATCAGATACCGTCTACATTCATAGACTATAATCAAAATATATCACATTCTAAGTTTGGGTATACCACTGGGAAGACATCAATCCTATTGAATCTTCAATCATCTATAATTGTGGATTTTGGTACCAGACTCAATCGGAACACGCACAAACCTGCTGAATTAAGTAACCTCTCTAATTTTTGTCGTGTTTATAACATTTAACTGATTTGTATTAACATTACTATTTGTACTTAATAACTCTGTTATCATTTTTGAGTTCAGATATTGTTAGTTCCACCACAGATGATTAATTTTGATTCACTTTCACATTATTTCATTATTTCCAGATCGAAGACACTTAAATAAAATCATCTTAGATGATATAATCGACTTTTCGCAGTTTATTTTCCCTTAAGAATGATGTCTTTGATTGTTAAAAATGTTGGTGTGAATAAGATATTTCTAAATGAATTTCCAACAATCAGTAATTTAAATAAACTTATTAACTGACTTTTCTTTATTCACATAGTTGTATTTAAGACGATTCATATAATTTGAAATCGATTGTCATTATAGAGCAACATCAACCGCAATATCACTCAGTATAGTTTAGCATTAAAAAGCTATGAATTAACTGGAGTTAATACATTGGTTCAGTTATATTTCAGTTAATTTAAACCTGAAAAGACTGAGTTCGATCTAGTATTAGACTGAAAAGTATTGCGATGTGTGCTACTTATATTGACATAAATAGTATATGATGTTAGTCGTGAACAGAAGGTCTGGCAGCAGAGAGACAAGAGGATCAAACAGTAAAGAATGGAAACAGAATGCAACTTGTATGAAAATGCAAGAACAATGAAGTCTGAGTGATTTTAAGACAATTGGTGGACATTTTGCAAAATAAGCATTTACTTTATGATTGTTAGATTTTATTAACAAATCCTGTAATATTGTGTTAAATACATTTGATTGTCCCAAACCGTGTTCTGTTCACTACAGTATTACTTAGAATAAAGACGCTATAGAGTGCTATCTAATTTACTTTAACTCTCTAATTTATCTTAATAAATGACGAAAATTTCCTTGACACGAAGCATTTTTAATAGATCAATTCTTCATACGATTATATACAAAATATACGATAATAAATAAAATCGGAAGTCAAATCATATTGACTAGAGTCTTCTGTTACAATTATTCTTGTATATTACAAAGCTAATCAATAAATTTAAGACTTGACAATGAAGCATAACTTTTGACCACCATGTCAGTAACCAAAAATATATATATATACTTCTTCATTTCCTTATTTGATTTAATTTATGCTCACAACGAATTACCGGACATTTCCAGATAGAGAAAATGATCGTCCCTATTTTTTTTTGAAGAAGAAGAAGAAGAAAAGAAACCATTTGAAAAAAAATTATTATGAATTGATTAATCACTATCGAAAAGTGTTTTTTTTTCACTCTCAGTTATTATATTGATTTTCAATGAGAAAAGTTATTTTTATCCTTATTGATTGAATAAAGTTTCTTTATGATTAAAATGTTCTAATTAGAATGCTTATTTATGATTTATATTTAATGTTTTGTGTAATTTTATGTTTTGTTAATCGTTAATTACACATTAGTGTTGATAAATGCAAATGAATATCAAAGGGAAACTATAAAATTTTCTTGATATTCATTTTAATTCCGTTTAGGCGATAAAAATAATTAAAAAACAAACATACATTGATTATATGGTCGGACTGAACATAATCACATGTGTATTTCATTTATATTAATGGTAAAATATGTATCACCGATTTTAATGGATGGACGATTTCCAAACTTTGCAAATAGTTCAGAGTAGGGAATAGGAATAACTGGTTACTAATTCTATGTTCTGAAACTGTTTCACTAGCGTCTTGGCTCAATCGTCATGATTTTGATCCTGGACGATATTGTTAGTGCATACTGTTGAAGATTTTTATACTAAAACAAAAAAACCTTTTATTGCTCTCTAACTTTTATTAGTCGTTTAGATAACGTTAGTTTGTAATGTGAACTAACTTTAATCTAAAATATGTGAATAACAAGCATATTCTTAAGTTGATTAGAAAAAAGTGGTTAGTTGATCAACGTTATTAAAATCAAAGAAATTGATAAATAATTTTACTTCGTCCTATCTGAAACGCATTATCAGGCTGTTCATGACCACATACTGATGTTCACATTGAGACTCGAACACAGTACCTATCATTTTAAACGCTTTCTACATTATCCACTTAGCCATTTACTTCAGATAGCCACTGGCTTGTTCAGTGCAGTGAATTTCAATTCACTTGCGTTGGTTGCTTGAATCTTCCAGTTGATGCTTTTTTAACAGTAGATGATAACAGCCACAGTTCAAATTACGCACTTACTTACCTACTCACTTACGCCTGTTACTCTTCGTGGAGTAGCGTAGGCCGCTCACCAACACACTTCATCCAAACCTGTTCTGAGCAGTCCTTT